TTGGAAATGTGTTTGGCAATCTAATACAGAGCTAAAAAGAATACTTAGAAAATGTTTTAAAAAACTAACAGTATGATTAATAATCTTGTTAGAAATATTAGCCTTTAAGCAAAAGTCTCCTCAGAAACCTTATGTTTGAAACATACATAAGAATATAATTTCTATAAGATCATAATCCACATTTTTTCTTGCAGAAAATTCAGAAACTGAGTTCAAAGAAATCATTCCAAGGAAGCAAAATGTTTGAATTGTGTTCTAGTAAAACAAGTGATTAAAAAATCAATTCATGTAATCCACCACATCAACAGGCCAAAGAAGAAAAATCATGAGATCATATCAACAGATGGTAAGCAAAAACCTCTCATAAAATGAGTTTTTAAAAGCTGGGTAAAATTACCCCAAAGGAATCTCAACTGCTAGGGGTGTAGTGATAATCACAAGATTAAGGATGTGTCCCTTAGGTTAAGTATCAGCAATATTTGGCAGACATTTAAAACCATGCAGGGAACGATTTTTTTTTTTTTTGAGGAAGATTAGCCCTGAGCTAAAATCTGCTGCCCATCCTCCTCTTTTTGCTAAGGAAGACTGGCCCTGAGCTCACATCTGTGCCCATCTTCCTCTACTTTGTATGTGGGACGCCTACCACAGCATGGCTTTCCGAGCGGTGCCATGTGCACAACTGGGATCTGAACCTGCGAACCCCGGGCTGCCAAAGCGGAACGTGCAAACTTAACTGCTGCGCCACTGGGCCGGCCCCTAAAGTTTTTTTAATTACATAAGGAAACTCATAAATCTTAGCGGAATAAGCAAAACCCAAAATTACATATCTATCTATCTGCATAGTTTTTTTACTGTTTTTTATATATATATATATATATAGTATATATAGTATCTATACATATATAGTACTATATGTAGTTTTCTACCATGTAAGTTTTAACTATATAATTTTTTTACACAGAAAGTATAGCTAGAAGGAAATACTCAAAATATTTAGAGTATCTTTGAATATTTGGTTATATTTCTTTTCTTTTTTATTTGTTTTTTACTTCCCAGATTATCTACAAATACATGAATGAAACTGATCACTTAAATGTACAATTTTAAAAGTTTATTTTTTTAAAGGAAGAAATAGGAAATTGCCTTAAATATTGCAGGGACATGTATTTCGTTACTCAAGGATCCACTAATTACCAACCAAACAATAGATTATGCTTACGTTAAAAAAGATATAACCTAGCAATAGCAATTATTGTCTTCCTAAAACTACCTGCTAAGAACAATATAACAGAGCTCTTTCCCTAAAGAACTTACCCTTCCCTAAAGAATTTAAGGTAATTGGTTATTGTACTCTACCAGGGAAATCCGCCGAAGAGAGGATGGTTGAGTATGTGTAAATTAGTTCCTAATTTTTTACTGAAACATCATAGTACTTAATTTCCATTCTGGGTACATAAAACCTTGTATATTGCTATCACCTCTCTAAGTGGGAATGATTACCAATTTGTTCCTTTTTTGTCATACCTACATACTATTTTAAAAGCCGGAGAGACTGATAATGGTCTCTAAATCATGTAATTGAAATAACTGGCCAGAGAAGTCACCACGCGCTTGTTTTTCCCATAATCTCAGATTTAGATGGAACCTCAGAGGTCACTGAATCTAACCCATTGAAAGGCAGTAACCTAGTTTGTGCTTCAGTATTTCCAGTGTCAAGTACCTCAATTCAAGGCAGCTTATCCCATTGTTGTAGTTTTGACTCATTATTGTACTTTTAATTATTAGAATATATCTGTATAGTGCAGAAATCGCTTTACCTGTAACTTCCATCCTCTTGGGCTAGTGCTGCCCTCTAGTGCTAGACCGAATAATAAATTCACTCCTTCTTCCATAGGATTATTTGAAAATAATTATGGTCCCCTGAGATTTCTGTGCTATAGGCTAAACATGCACAATTTCTTCAGTCCTGCTTTGCATGACATGATTTAAATCTCCTCACACATTTAGCTTATTTTCCTTGGTTTTAATCTAGTTCGTTAGTTAATATATGGTGGCCAATAACAGCAGGACTCAATGTATTATTTCTCTTTTACTGGATATTTCTATTGAACAGGGTTCTTAGTTGAATGTGACAAACTCTAGTTGCCTTAAGTAAGGAAGGAATTTATTGAAAGTCAGTTGGGTAGCTCAAGGAATAACCAGGGACTCTAGAGAACCAGGCTCAAGAAAAAGGGCAGGAACCAAGGGAGACCAGAAATTCAGAACTGCAGCTAAAATCACACCTTAAAATTAATATGATGAGGCCACCACTGGCATACACAGCTACTGAAATTTGCACCACTGCCATTGCTGCCCCTAGAAACTGGCTGCTGTGGTCAGAATGAATTCTACACTGCCCCCGCTTCTGTTTTGTACTAACGCCAGATTCCATGTAGGGTTAGTGTGTCTGACTGGCCAAGTCTGGGTCACAGGTTTTTGCTCTAGTTTCTCAGGAATTTTCTTGGTCTGTAATGGGAGACAGGCTCCACCTCCTAATAAGATTCTAATAGTGAGATTTTCACAAAACTAGAAAGGGGCTTCATTTGCTTAATAGGTGGAGTAAAGGCAAAAGTCCGCTACAAAAACTGTAAATATCATTTGATTTTTCTGACAATCACATCCCACTGCTGATTCCTGTGAACAACTAGTCATCAAAACCGCCTGTTGTTTTCACATGTACTACTCTTGTGCCAGGTTAGCAACTACATTAGCAACATACTTATTACTTCTTGAGACATCTGTGAAACCCACAACATCCCCTTCTGACAACTTCCCCTTATACACACACACACACACACACACACACACACACACACAAATAATGGGTTCTTGCAGCTGTGTTTTTATGTATGATCCTGGCCACAGTTAATTGGTCAAAAAGTAGATGCCCTCACCTAAGCTGGGACAACCAGATTCTGGGCCATTCAGTAGTCAGTGTTTGAACTATGACAAAATAGGGTAGAGAAGGAATGACCACATTTAACCTCTGTACACAAATAAACAACGAGAGCTGATATTCAGAGAAAAAGAAAGAATTGAAAGAAAGAGAAGAATGAGAGAGGGAGGGAGAGAGAGAGGTGTTTAGTCCCAATGACTTTACATTTATTCCTTCACAAATATTTATTGCATCCACAGGCTTACAATGCCACATACTTTTTGATGACTTCCCTAAAGCTGTGTCCATGACATCTCTTAAAAAAAAAGTAATTGTTCCTCTTATCATCTAAATATACGCTTCAGTAGATGCTATTTTTAAATGTTAGAGGAATCCTGTGTGTCACCGGTTCTTCAGAGGAAATAAAAATCAAATTAATAAATTTTAAGAGCTGAAAATTTGTTCAAGTTGTTAGGGAAATCACAAAATAAATGTCTGAAGAGATTTTAAAATGTAAAATATTTTATTATTTGTTGTATTTAAGTCATTACTTGGAACTAGGGACCTAAAGATTGATAAATAAACCTTTTTCACAAGGCATATACAGTTGTCTGAAGACAATAAATACACGCAAAATATTAATTTAAGTGCTATAATTGAGTCCGTCGACAAATACTGAGCTCCTTTCTGTGTTAGGCTCTGGGATACCGGTATCTACAAAATATCTGTGAGGCTTAATGGCGCAAATCCACCTAAGGGATAAAGAAAAAGTCATTTAAGACTTGAAAAATCAGGGAATAACTATAGAGGTGAGAAGGGTATTTTCTGGCAGAGGAAGCAGCACTACCAGCACACTCTGGAAAGTTCAAGTCATTCCATGTGGTGGGGTACTGAAAGGTAGGTCTGAAGAGATCATCAGAGATTAGATTACGGAAGGACCTTTTTTTTAAAAAAAAAGATTTTATTTTTCCTTTTTCTCCCAAAGCCCCCCGGTACATAGTTGTGTATTTTTTAGTTGTGGGTCCTTTTAGTTGTGGCATGTGGGACTCCGCCTCAGCATGGCTCGATCAGCAGTGCCGTGTCTGCCCCAGGATCCGAACCAGCAAAACCCTGGACCGCCAAAGCGAAGGGCGCGAACTTAATCACGCAGTCAGCCCCCTCAGCCAACCCCCTGGAAGTACTTTTATGCGAAGAGTTTAGAGTATTTTTTTTTCTATCTTATTTAAACTAACTGCTAGATTTGTGGTAGCTCTGCAAATGTGAGAGAAGCAGAGAACTAGTGCATCACATGAAGAACGTAAGGTTTTTTCGCCAGGAATGCCAACAGCAAAGAAGAGAAATGCGTTCTTCTAAGAGCTATGAAAGGCAAGGGTCAAAAAGTTACAGAGTAAAAGTTGCGGCTGACTGAGAGACGGATGCACAGGAGAAGAGACGGTCTTTAGAAAAAGCGGGAAAGAAATGGGCGGGTCTTTTTTTTTTTTTTTCTGTGAGCCAGGTTCCTTCTAGGAGACATGGGAAGGGGTATATGCCAAGCTCCACCCCTTAGGCCTTAGCAACAGCGAAGGGAAAGCCTGTGATTGGAGGACGAGTTTAGCCGGCACCCCAGGGAGCAGTGAGAGGCTACATAAGAGCTTCGCTCGGCTGTGGTGCAGCAGTGAGGTGAAGCTGAGATGGCTTCGCCTTCCAACGTAACGTTTCCTGGAAGGATGCTGACAGACCCTAAAAGTAGGGGAAACATGGCCTTTCTAGATATGTCTCTAGGTATGTAGATCCCGGATCCCTATCCCCACCCGTGTGGGCGGGCTGGCTTTGAGCGGGAGAGCTCGGCATTGGGCAGGCTCGAAAGGACACTGTGAGGGACACGGCCCTGGGCGGGTGGCTCCCCTCTCGCTCTGTGCCGCCCCAGCGGGATGAAGCCCTGTCCGGGCCCCGGCTCTCCTCTCTGCTCCCAGTCTCCTGTGCTTCTTAGGTGGGAAACTGGCCGAAACTGACAGAAATTGAGTGGGGAGTAAGGATTGCTGGAAGGGGGCAGGAGGGGGAAGTAAAAAGCCGGCTATCGCCATAGATTTTACTCTCCTGAGGAATGATGCCAAGCTACCTGCCCCCCTCACACACAGGGGACCAAAAGCTCCGCCATCGGCCACATTCCCTCTTCACAGTCTGCAAGTTCCGGGGGCAGGAGGAGCAAGCCTTAGGGCTGGTTGGCAGGAGTGGTAGTCGGCAGCAACACCGGGCAAAGGGGTGGCGGATTTGCTTGCTTGCTTGTTGGTTGGCGCTGATTCACGCTGGACTACTTTTCTCTCCGCTGGCGCCCTCTGGTCTTTTACCTCAGACTTCTGACGTGACCGACCACTCTGGAAATGCGGAGGGGGAGGGGAGAGGAAGGGGAGGAGCGAGGGTGGGTTTCACAAATGAGGGGGGAAGAAGCAGAGTGGGGAGGGTAGACTTGAAATGAAAGGGCATTCTTTGTCTTTTTATTCTTGAGTTGTCAGAGTTCTTTATATATTGTGGATACTAGACTCTTCTCAGGTATGATTTACAAATATTTTCCCCTATCTTGTGGATTGTCTTTTCACTTTCTTGATAGTGTCCTTTGAAGCACAAAAGTTTTAAATTTTGATGAAGTACAATTAATTTTTCTCTTTTATTATTTATGCTTTGGTATCATAGCTGAGAAATTATGTTTACTCCTATGTTTCTTTTTAAGAGTTTTCTAGTTTCAGCTTTTACACTTACATCTTTGATCCATTTTGAGTTAATTTTTTGCATATGGTGTGAGGTAGGATCCAACTTCGTTCTTTCGCATGTGGATATCCAGTTGTTTCAAATCATTTGTTGAAAAAACTGTTCTTTCCCCTATTGAATGGTCTTCTTGGTGGAATTGCTTTCCTAACTTCATTTTTAAATAGTTCATTGCTAGTGTATAGAAATATAACTTATTTTGGGGTATGGATCTTGTATCCTGGAACCTTGTTTAACTTGTTTGTTAGCTCTAATTTGTGTGTGTGCATCCTTAGGATTTTCCGTATACAAGATTATGGCATCCGAGAATGGAGATAGTTTTACTTCTTTGTTTCAAATCTGGTTGCCTTTTATTTCTTTTTCTTGACTAATTGCCCTGGCTAGAATTTCCAGTGAAATGTTAAATAGATGTGGTGAGAGTGGGCATCCTTATCTTAATCTTAGGGGAAAAGCTTTCAGTCTTTCACCATTAATCGTCATTTTAGTTGTCGGTTTTTTACAGATGCCTTTTATGAGGTTGAGGAAGTTACCTACCCTCCCCCCATACCTTGGAGGGGGAATGGCTGTGAATAGTACCTAAGACATTTTCTTGCTTTTGTTTTTGTTTTTTAAGGTGTTTTTAACAATCTATTTCATGACTAGTATCTGTAGGCTTTACTTTTCTAAGACGTAGTCCTTGTGGATTCCAGACTGTTGCTTACCTCCCACCCCCAGTTTCAACATGAGTTCCAAAATATTTTGTGGCATTAAAATGACTTTTTTCTTTTTGAGGAAGATTAGCCCTGAGCTAACTACTGCCAATCCTCCTCTTTTTGCCAAGGAAGACTGGCCCTGAGTTAATATCTGTGCCCATCTTCCTCTACTTTCTATGTGGGATGCCTGCCACAGCATGGCTTGCCAAGTGGTGCCATGTCCTCATCCTGGATCTGAACTGGTGAACCCCGGGCCGCTGAGAAGCGGAATGTGTGAACTTAACCGATGTGCCACCAGGCTGGGCCCCCCAAAAATGACTTTTAAAAAATAATATTTGGTTGCTGGACAGGGCTGGCACTGTGGTGAGGCACTTGCCAAGGATGCAAAATTTCAGGAGGCACCAAAAATTCACGTAATGACCATAAATAAAATTTTACTGAAATAGTTTTAAAAATCAAATGGATAAACTACAGCCTTCTGGCTGGTCGCCTGTTTTTGTAAATAATTTTTTTCATAAATAAAGGAATTAGAGTGAGGCAAGTGAGGCAAGGTTGTACAAGTACAGGGTCTGATCTCATCCGTTTTTGTTGGTGATATTCTGTTCTTCAGGGATTTTTCTTGCATTGATTTTTATTTTTGAAAATATTATGTTAAATATTGTTTTTATCTCGAATACTGAGTTTTTTGGAGCCTCCTTAAATTTTATGCCTGTGGTGCATAGCTCACCTGCCTTACTCTAGGTCCTGCCCTGTTACTGGGACCCTGAATAGGGGATAATCCCAGAACTGAGGGGAATTTATAGCACAGAGGTAAAACCTAATGCTTCCTGCACTTTTCTTTGTGTGGATTTCACTGATCGGTGTTTTTTTTAGCAGGTGCTTATAGAGGTAAAAATATAAACTGATAGGGGCCGGTCTGGTGGCACAGTGATTGGGTTTGCACATTCCGCTTCGGCGGCCCAGGGTTCGTTGGTTCGGATCCTGGGTGTGGACATGGCATGGCTTGGCAAAAGCCATGCTGTGGTAGGAGTCCCACATATAAAGTAGAGGAAGATGGGCACGGATGTTAGCTCAGGGCCAGGCTTCCTCAGCAAAAAGAGGAGGATTGGCAGTAGTTAGCTCAGGGCTAATCTTGCTCAGGAAAAAAAAAAATATATATATATATATATGTAAACTGATAAAGAGCTAAAGCAATCAGTTTCTCTCAAAATTCAGAGAAATAGGGGCCACAGTTGCAGAGTGGCCTGGTCCCAAAAATTTAGTGGTTGTGTGACCTTGTGCAGGTTGCTTTACCTTTTGGAGCCTGAGTTTCCTCAGTTGAGTAGTATCTGCCTCATAGAGTTGTTGAGGATTGCATGAGATAATGCAGATAATGTGCACAAAGTACCATGCCCGACATGGAAAAAGTTGAGTAAATGTTTGCCATACGTCCTTCAGAAAGTGGGCCTGGGGGCTGGCCCGGTGGCTTAGTGGTTAGGTTCGCATGCTCCGCTGCAGCAGCCCAGGGTTTCACCGGTTCGGATCCTGGGCGTGGACATGGCACTGCTCATCTGGCCATGCTGAGGCAGCGTCCCAAATGCCACAACTAGAAGGACCCACAACTAAAAATACACAACTGTGTACCAGGGGGCTTTGGGGAGAAAAAGGGGAAAAAAATCTTAAAAAAAAATTAAAAAATAAAGTTATTCTATTAAAAAAGAAAGTGGGCCTAAAGCTTCACTTTTGGGAAGCTAGCAATTTGGCAAGTTGGAGTCGACATCTCCTCTCGCTCTGGATGTGGCTATCGAACTTTAGAGATGTAGCAGACTTGCCAGAGATGAAAAGGCATCCGGTGGAAAGGCGGGGTTTAAACAGTAGGTAATGTCAAGCTCCGGAGACTGAGGGGCGTGGTTGTTTGGTGAAACTTGGACAATAGCAGATTCAAGGGATTTCGGAGGCACTGTCATTTAAGTAGATGATTACAGCTAGGAGGATATTGGAGAGTCTGGTTTGGAAAAGACTGGCTCAAATCATAGTAGAAAGGCTGAGGAAAGATGTTGAATTGAATGTGGTAAGTTAGTAGGAGGTTGTACGTGAGAGTAAAATCTGGTAATCATAGAGTTGCAAAGATCTTAGGAGGTCACTGTTTCATGCTCTTAAACGTTGGTTCTCCCTATCCATGTTTATACCATTTCAGACAAATGAGAGTCCAGGTTTGGATCTTTTCAGGAGGAACAGGCGAAACTTTCAATAAGTCCTTAAAGGCTCTTGCAGTTTGAAGCCAAGAAAAACACATCATAAAGAGCAAATACGTGTTGTTTCTATGAGTTGATGAAAAACCCATACTTTTCCAATAAATTTCTCCATGTTTTTATTAAAGCGAAAATAATATTTTTAATAATACACATCTTTGTCTTTGGATAACAACACATATGCATTAGAAAAGCAATTTTATATTATTTATATATTACACATAATTTTATATTATTTACATACTTTTATATTATATAAATATTTACATCGAATGCAAGGATATTACTTGCATTGTAATAAGATGTACTAAAACAGGAAAAGGCTCTACAAATTTATTTTTTCTTCTTATCCTTAGTAAACATTCCCAAAAGGTAGTATCTTCTTTTTTTTAGAAATAAAAGGCAAAAATAAGCCCAAAATTGGAACTGGCAACAGCAAAAACTTAATGGGAACTGCACTTCCCTGTTCATCACTTCTATGTAAAGGAGACTGAGGCAAAAGTTCTGTACTTTGAAAGACAGGAACCCTTTCTGCTTGCTAGATGTATTGGTTCATAGAGCCGTAAATATTTATAAAGCATCCACTCTGCATTAAGCACTGTGCTAGGCACTTAGTATGCTGATAAACAGACAACAGCCTCTCCTAAAGTAGCTCATAATCTAGTTGGAGAGGTAGCTAGTAAGTACGTGCAATTACAGATGTTAGCTAGGGCGAATCTTCCTCAAGTAAAAAGAGGAGGATTGGCAACACATGTTATCTCTGGCCGAATCTTTCTCAGAGAAAAAAATACGTGCAATTATATGTCGTTTTAAGTGTTCTGGAAGTGTGTGTGGTGAGAGCCTCTCAGAAATTGAGAGGAACCTAAGTCATATTTTCTGAGGTTTCTACTATTTTATGTTTTTTTCTTTTTGAGGAAGATTAGCCCTGAGCTAACATCTGCTGCCAATCCTCCTCTTTTTGCTGAGGAAGACTGTCCCTGAGCTAACATCTATGCCCATCTTCCTCTACTTTATATGTGGGATGCCTACCACAGCATGGTGTGCCAAGAGGTGCCATGGCCGCACCCGGGATCCGAACTGGTGAACCCCAGGCCACCAAAGCGGAATGTGCGCACTTAACCACTGTGCCACTGGGCCGGCCCCTATTTTATGTATTTAAAAAATGACAAAACAGTGTTTTCAAAAGTTGGAGTGTGTTTTAAATATTTCTAAGTAATAAAATGCATTTCAACACATTTTAAAATATAAGGCAATATAATCATGCTTTTCACAAGAAAATTAATCATATAGTTTATATAAAAATGTAATTATTCGTATGGTACCTCAAGCAGAGTGATCTATTTTAAACTGCATGAGGAATGTTGTCTTTCTTCAATTCCGACACTATATTTTCTGAAACTAAGTATATCTTACTTAGGTTAAGAATTCAAATTTGAGGTTCTTTGGTGAGGCCTGGACCAAATGATTCTCCTAAGTGTTCTCCAGATGGATTCAGTGGCGAATATCATTACAGAGAGCAGCGTGAGCAAAGCAGCTTGTCTCTGTGATGATATATCCTGAGAACTAAGGAAAAAGGACATGAGAATCTGGGAACAGGTT